CTGCATGCATCCTTTGGGCACAGATCCTCAGTCCCACAAGGTCCAGGCAGAGTGCAATTAGCTCCAGCCACGTTCTTGACAGGATCAGATTTTGTAGCTCGCTGTCAGGATCCAGAAAGATTCTGTGATAAAAGAACAGCTTAGCAGCAGCCTGTTCTAGAGTCTCACTTCACAGCGCTCCCCAAGAAAAGAAGAGCATGTCTTACTCTGAGTGGGGCCGTGCACTTGGCAGTAGCAACATTCCAGATGTGTGCGCCAGATGTTCCCTGCTGTTTTGTTTCATGACGTTTAAAGTCCCCCTAGATCATCACTACAGTTTGGCACAAGCCTGATCCTGAAAAGTCTCACTGGTGTTAAGCAGCATTATACCACTTGAGTACAGTATAGGCACTGCAATCAGACCCATGTAGGTGGCTCCCAGGTAAAAAGGCTAAGGGTACCATACAGCTAAACCACACTCAAAGGATTGGCATTTGGTCCTTTTCTGTCCAAGCCCTTCAGAAGCTGAGAGAATTCCAGGAACTGGAAAAAGCAAGCAAATTCCTCCTGCCTAAAAAAAAAAAAAAGCAGCACCAATGAGAGTCACATCCGGACATCTGTAAGCACAGGGTAGGTCACCACAGTGCAAGCCCTAGAGTGGGTAGGAAATGGGCTAGGGAAGGATTTCAGGGGGCAAAACCCCAAAAGGAACAACAAAGTCTGTGCCGTTTGCTAAGGGCAAAGGCAGCATTTGCTTAACCATTTATTTCTGGCTTGGGTCAAGATGGGCCACAAGCAAAGTTCTCAGGAGGCGTTTCAAATGGAAGAACCCTGATGTGAACTGCCAGGAGATCTATGGAGCCTCTGTATGCAGCTTGTGCCACATCCTCTCTTTCATGAGCCAACAGCAAAGAAAAGCTATTGGTAAGAACATTGCAGCACTACATAAAGATCTGTGAACAAAACCTTGATCAAAGCAGCCATTCACTGGCAGGCATCTGGGAAATGTATTTTAAATGGCTTCATAAAAAGTAAATACCACTTAGTTTCTTTATTGTTTATGGGCAGAGGGTGAATTGTAAGGAGTTGTATGGTAACTGGCACTTCTGGATTCACTGGCCAGTGCCTTCAGATCAGAAGGCTCCACAGACTATAGTTCCTTCCTGGACAATAACCTAAGGGGGTCATTTTGCCTGAAAGAGGAAAAGGAAGTTTACTACACTTCATATGCAACTGAAAATCTCCCCCAAGCAGAAGCCTGCAGGCATTCGTCACAGAGAAGCGTGGTGGTTTCCATATCTGGATTGCTGCCTGTTAATCATCAAATGGAGACCAACAAAGTGTTTTCATCTGCAGCTGACATGCTTTGCAATGTTTATAAAATGCTCCCTTACAGTGATAACTGGAGTTTATGGGCCTTATGTTAAAAGAGCAAAGCTACAGTAAATCTGTTAATTACAAGAAAATTAAAGGCTTTCTCTTACAATGCCAGTGTCCAAAATTTCAGCAATGAGCAGAGATAAGCTTCTGGTTTTCAGCCTGTAAGAAGGAGCCCCACTTAAAAAAAAAAAAAAAAAGGGATGATAAAAATACTCATGGCCCCAGCTCTCCCATAGATCCACGCATCTCCGTGCACCTGCAGGACCCCCTCTGACCCAGAAAGTCCAGAGAAACATGACAAATCCTAAAAAGCAAAATCTAAAGCTTTGCCATGCTTCCTTGGCAACAAGCCACCTTATGGGAGATCTAAATTCAAATCCCAGCCTTTGTTTCTCCCTGCTTGGGTTGGCAGGGATCTTGTACATCAGAGAGGACACCGCAGAAGCAGCTCTTTCAGCTCTCAGGGGGAAATAACGGACATCCAGCTGGCTGACCAGAGGCAGCATTAACTGAGCTCCACACCAAGGTCATTTTCTGTGTCTACCCCCTGCCAAGGTAAAGACAATCAAAAGGCAATTATCCTGCACATTCGGACTTTCTATTAGGAAATAGCAAGCAATGAGTCATAGAATTTCTCTATGATAATGGAGTCTTATAGGGGACTTTTGGAATCAGCAATTCCCTGAATAAAGAGAATGGCACTACATGGACACAGAACAGAGAAAAGAATTAGCACCTCCCAGTGTCGGCACCCTAAGTGCCACATACCACTGCAAACAGGCTCAAAAGATACTCAGTGCCAGAGCCACCCAAACATGGAAAAAGCCCTACCCATTTTGTCATATTATTGCGGGATTTTTTATTTGAGGCTACGTTCCATTTTTCATGGACTGCTCTTTTTATTTGCCCCCTTTTTCTTTCCAAAAGATTAGATGTAAATAAGAATCAAGTTTAGTAAATGACTAGGACTAGGGCATCAGCTGGCAATTTTTTAAGGCTGCAGGCCAAACCGACCCAGTCCGGGTGGGAGGAGAAAGGCAGGTGCTAGGACTTTTCCCCAGTGGCAGCAGGGAGAAAATGACTGCTGCTGAAGCCCCCGCTCAAATGCTGCCAAAGTCCACGTCTGCAAGCTTCACAGGTAATACTACCACAGACAATCTGGTCCACTTGTGATCTGCTACACAAGATCAGCTTCCTACTGCACAGCCAGCAGATGAAATTTTGATCCAACTGGAGACAATGGCCAATCTCCCATTGATTTCAACAGATCTAGACTCCCTCAGCATTTTTAAACTCTCAACACTTCTAGGTGCGATTTCCTTGCATGAAACAATGCTTTCTTTTCCTTTGCTCCTCCTCTCTACACACACATGCCCAATGCGCACATACTTGTCACATGTACCTGCTTCTTCCTCCTTGCAGACAGCTTTTCCTGGTGGTTCAGGCTGATGTGTTGGTGGTATTCTGTCTAGTGAACAACTGTCAGCAACCACCACCACTTCATGCAAACAGCGTGAAAGCAGCAGTAGTCTGGAGTGCTTGCAATGGGACTTCAAAGCAGGTTTGTTCCAATAAGACGGCACAACAGCAAAGGAACCAAAATAAATGCCATCCATTAGGGCACCTTTTCAGAAATTATTGGCCTCCCAGAAAAGCACTGCTTGAAAATGTTAAGAGTCAAGAAAGCTGCTATCTCCAGCCCATCTAATGAGAAGCAATAAAACAAGACCTCCAAACAGCAAAGCAACACAGTTCAGAATCAGAGCAGTACATTGGAGAGAGCTCTCTGCTCAATTGATTACCCTTCCCCCAACCCCAAGAATTGCTTCTCACAGTATATTCCCCACTGCATTATCTAGTCTGGTTTTATAGGTCTTGGGTGATGGAGCTCCCAACACTCTCGAGTACTGGATTATTTCAAGCAGGAAAATGTCTCACTCCAAGATAAACTCTCACGCCATGCAATCCTTTAAATTCATTTACTGGATTCGGGAATATCTGAATTTTTTAGCATTATATTGCAATAAGGAAGAAAGCCCAGGAAAGCAAAGGTTCAGCATTACAGCCCAAATCTGTACATTCATTTGATGGTCAAATTCCAATCAGGTGAGCAGTCCCACCAGGGGTCTATCCAGAGGGGCTGCGCTAGTGCACTTACCCCTCTTTGATTCCTGCTCCATCCAAAGTTTAAAACCAACTGCCTGGCAGTGGCAACAAACAACATTTCTAGTCAGGCAGTGCTAAGAAAGTCAATTGACTTCATGGCTCATTATAATCTACTTGGCCCCTTGTAAACTCTTCATTCCACAAGTGTTAATGACCCTCTCTTCTTTTTAATGATCTTGATATTCCAGCAATCAAGCTAGCCCTTGTTCTGCAATTCTGCTGTGTGTTCACTGCTCCTGGTGTTGAAACTCCTATTTCACAGCCCTGCAGATTGTTTTTAATGCATTCCAATAAAAGTCACCTTTGTTTTTGCTTCAATCTTAAACTGCATAAAACAGCCCTATGCCCTGAGCATGTTAGTAAAGTTTCTAGTTTATTTTTAACTTGCAAAAAATGTGTGCTGTTTTATATGTGATGAGGCACCTTGGCATCTGCACCCCCTTTCCAAAATTCTAGATCCACCCATGAATCCCCAGACTTCAGTCAGATTCCATGCAAGCAGAACTGCAAAATGAGTCCCGCCATAAGTCTCTAGCCAGACTACACCACAGCTGAGCCTCATTGGCTTATTTTAATTGAGATTAAAAAAAAATGCCAAATCTCTCTCCATTTCCCTAGAGCCAATCACTCAAGATATCGGGGAGGGAGTGACCAACATTCCATGAATACTTGATTTAACACTTACAGCAAGTTTAGACCTAGTTCACCATTATCAAGTATACAAGTTTTAATCGCCTGCAATCAGCCACCTCTCGGATCTGTGAAGCATTACTGTTCGTCCTGCAGACCAGCCTGGTTTAAAAATAGAAACTTGCTGACTTCCTTGCAAAAACTGGTAAATAAATCAAGAAAGAGTG